CCTGCAAAGGCCAGACATTCAAAAACTCTATCGTCTCCCACAAGTCCATTTGCTTTTCTGTAGCAAGTTTAATGTGCGTAAACTGTTTAATGCTATGTACTCACTTTTTTTCAGTTCCTGGGATTCTGAAAGCAAAGAAAACATTTTTTAATAGCTTGTTGGAAAGTGAAAGTTACTGTTCTGCGGTGGAGGTGGTGGTTGTGTTTATGGATTTATGGGATTTATTGGTGTTGCCGCCTTGCAGAAGCCAGAAGTAGCAGCAGAAGCATTAATGATACGAAATTGGTTGAATTGAAGGTCAAAGAGAAAAAGGGTTTTGGGGCATTGGTATTGGTATTGGTACTGTTTCCTTTTGTTTTTTCTACAATTTTAGGCCTAATCCAAAAATGGGATTTGGTTTTCTTGGTTTTATTTATTTATTCTAACACAGTTCTTTAAACCTTATGATGTTTGGATTGGCATTGATGCATGATGACAAATTTAGAACCGTTAAGTTGGTGTCAATATTATTTCTGATATATTTGCCTTTTCATCTGGAGGCATGCTACGTTTATCCACTTAGATTTCTAAAACATGTACAGTAGTCATAGTGTGCACTGGTTTCTGCGTAGTAACTAATTCTAGCAGTTTCTTGCAGGTGGCTGAACTGTGAAGACCCTTTAATCAATGGACAACCATGGACTACAATTGAGGACAAGAATCTTTTGCATAATATCCAGCGGAAGGGGCTAAGTAACTGGATAGATATTGCTGTTTCACTGGGAATGAATAGGACCCCTTTTCAATGCTTAGCATGCTATCAAAAGAGTCTTAAAGGGATTGGACCCAGAAGGAGGATAATCAACTCCGTGCTGCTGTAGAAAAATTTGGTGAGATCAATTGGCAACACGTTGCTTCTCTAATAGAAGGACGAGCAGGTACCCAGTGCTCTAATAGGTCAGTCAACATACTCAATGATGAGTTCAATTTTTAAGATTTTCTAACTGAATGAAGAAGCCTATTAGGATATGAAGCCTGGGTGCCAATGTTGCATTAAAATATCAATTGAGAAGTTGTTCCATGAAATTTATTTTCAAGGCTAGTCTGCATTCTACATTTTTCCTTTTTTAGGCATGAAAAACTCACTAATGATGTTTTCACCTCCTTATGGTCCCTTGATATATATCATAACTTGTACATCCATTTTATGCTTCAGAAAGTGCTTTTAGTGTACCGGAGGAAGAATCCTCGATCCATTTCGTAGTTCTTTAACCCCTAGGATGGTGGAGGTTTTGGTGTACACCCAAAACTAGCTTAAAGAGTCTTCGATCATGGACAGATTTTATATGGAAGATGTTGAGGTATATGAAAAATTGGACGAAGGTAATATAATTATGGTTATTCCATGAATTATGTTAAAAAAATATGTTTTATTTAATTTATTGTTAATTTGATCTTTTTTTTTTTGTAGAGCTTTTGGAATCAGAGAAATCAAATGAAGGCTAAATAAAAGTGATTCATGCATTAATGATTTTTTCAGGTATATGTATAATGTATTCAATTTGCACAACTGACTTTGTCATTATATTATTAATCTTTTTCCCGAAACGTTTATATTATTTTGTAGGAATGCTACTAAAAGCTATGCGAGAATCGAAAAGTATGATATTCTACTTTATTATTTAATTTTTTAGTCATTTGAATTTTGGATGACTAGTAGTTTTCTTTTTATTTATTTTTTAAGTTTGGATTACTGTATATTTTTAATTGTTGGTTGACTGTAATATTTTAACATTTACTTTTCGGCTTAATAATAATTTTGTGTCAAAAGTATTATTTATATTTAAGCAAATTCTTGGATTGGGAAGTCTCAAGTAAATTTAGTGAAAAAAAAAACCAGCTGGACCGACCCGATTTGGGTTGGGTCGGTTTAGGGTAGGAGCTGGGTCGGGTCGATTTGTGAAAGAGTCCAAAAACGAATATATTGGGTCGGGTCGATTCTGGGCCAAACCCGACCCGACCCATTGCCCACCCCTACTCAACATAGATGTAGCTGCACATGTAATTTTCTAACAGCTTGTTACCCTTCAAGAAATAGTTTGTTAAAGTCAAATCACTTTTAGCCCCTGTTTGACATACATTCTCTCAAAATAAATTCTTTCAAAACTCATTTTTAACCACTCATTCTTCAATAAAATAATATTTTTCATCACATCAATAACTTTTCCTTATTTTTTTACCATATATTTCCCATCAGATCACTATTTAAAATACATTCTTTCCTCAATAATATTCATCAAACACCCTCTTATATGCTGATATTTTATCCTATTTTCAGAAATTGAGTTATAAAAGCACGTAATGTTCCCAATGAACCAAGCAGAAATGAAAACAACAGGTAAGAACAATTCTTCAATCTAAAATGTAAAAGGACTAGTGACAATAGTATTATGATCACTGATACACCATCAAAAAGATCTCTTTTTCCTTCTTTTTCATTTTAGAGAGTACCACTCACATCTGTTCAATAAGAGTTAAATGAAATCAAGAATATTTATGGTATAATTTTTTTATCACAGTTGTAAATATTAGAAAATCCAATTTAATAAATTAGAAGACAAGATGGTACAAAGAAAGTGGACAGTCCAATACAAACACATGGCAGGCTGGGGAAATAAAATCTTAAATAAATGAAGGAAACTGACCTTTCACCACCAACCACACATACAGCACAAGTACCAGTAGGAGAATCATCTTCGTAGTAATGAACCTAATGCAACCACATGGAAGGGAGAGAATATATTTGCATTATGGGACTTTACCTATTGAGAAACTGGAATAAACTAAAAACCAAGGCAAGAAAATGAAATTGACAGTAATACAGTAATGGTGAACGACGCCAACAATACGATGTTAAGCAAGTATAAGAGTAAATTATAAAAAGTGATTGTCTCATGATAACGTTTTCACTTCACAAGTGAAATCATGGCGGCCTTAGGTCAAATTATAAGTAATGACAATAATGGATGAGAAAGCTGTAAGTGAACAAAGAACTTACATTAACTCCAGCTTCTTTTGCATTTTTCTTCATTTCCTCCCCATATTTGTCCTTTCCGATTGAACCCATGTAACTGGTTGCACCAGGAATTTGAAGCATCCACTGTAAAGGACAACTTGATAACTTATTTTTCTATACAATCTAGTAGCACGACGTTGCTAAGAGTTTTAGATCCATAAAATGGATCTCAGATTACCTGAGCAACTCTGATTGAATTTTGAGTAGCTCCTGTGGTAACAAATTATACAAAAACACCAGTAATGCTCAGTGGTACATTAGTGAAAAATGAGATCAGACTAGTTTTAAGGTTCCAATTCTTCAGTTACGAAAAAATTACCTCCAGCAATGTACTCCACGTTGTACTTTGATGCCATTTCATCATACCTGATAATACATTCATCAACATTATTTTCCATACACGATTATGAAAATAATCTTTCCATAGGGGTAAAAAAAAGAACTCTAGTTCTCATGTTTCCAACACACTTTTCTTCATTATATGGTCACTTTCTTGCAACTTATTAGATGAGCCTCAAGATCATCTTCTGAGCAACTGAACTAACAATACATTTGCCCAATGTTATTGAGTAAAATATTAATAATTCAGTTAATTGTGTAAAGAGTAAAATAATATCCAAATTGAGAACACGTAACTGAAGATCTAGAAGGGGAAAAAAAGGCACTCTCCCTACTGGCGCAAAGAACCCTTGAGGAGACAAAAATGGTAAAAAATGGTTGCAATATAGGGGAGGCGGGGAAAAAAATAAAACTTTCAAGTTAAGATTTACAACGTAAACATCTGATAGAAACAAGGTCTTCCAACAGGCCATACCAGGATGAATTTTGAAGTATGGTTTCCTCGACATAAAGTGGCTTATTATATGTTCTAAGATCAAAAACTGTTAAGTTACTGTATTAGCGGGGCACTTTATAAATGCCAAGCTCATTTCATCATTAGATTACCAAAATGTGGATTGCTGCATTTCACAGAACAAGAAGTGCACTTCATTGTCTATTTGAACAATCAAAGAACTAGAAAACGAATTGGAGAGACTAATATTTAGCAATTTATCAGCTGACACTTTATGAATGTTAAGCTCATATCATCATTTGATTACCAAAATGTAGACTGCTGCATTTCACAGAACAAGAAACACAATTTATTGTCAATATGTGTAACGACCCGAGTCTCTATTCCCAAGCCGTTAGCCAGGATTCAACTTCAATCTCTCATTAGGCAAAGGTCTTGAGTTCGAATCTTGGGGGACGCGATAGAAAGCCTTGAGAGGTGCCCACTCAAAGCGGACAGTACTTAAGCTAACGGTTTGGGTATAAAGACTCAGGTTGTTACACTACCAAAGTACTAGAGAACAAATTTGGAATACTAAATTTGAGAAATTTAATTTGATACCATTTGAACTAACAATACCCATTCAGACATTCCCAAGTAACCATGTTCCTACTCTAATTAAGGCTATGTTTGAGCTCCATTTTTTTGTGAAAATGAGTTATGTAATAATGATTTTTTGGAAGAATGTGTAGTAAAAAAGTAAGGAAAAGTTTTTGGTTTATGTGTAAAATTATTTTATTGAGATAATGTGTGGTTGAAATGAGTTTGAAGAAACATGAGTTTTTAGAAAATTGGCTCAAACAGGGGCTAAATGTAAAAGTGTCATGTATCAAATTAAAATTTTCACAACCATAACAAATCCATTCCCAAGGAGAGATGTTCTGTGCTCCAAAGTCTAAATGATTCATTGTTTTATCAACATTTTGTAGAATTTAAAATTTGAGTTTTGTTTCTCATGAAAACTTCATGTAACCAAAATGTATACAATGACTGTGAATCAGTTGTCAAGTTACATAAATCTCTGTGGAAGTCTTCCAGTTACTCTCTGAATTTAATATATAACCAACAAGCAAGCATAGAACGATATGAATTTGTGTTTCTGGAAATATGTTTTGCATGTCAGCAACCAGGGCAATCAACAATAACTTTTTGTGGTGGTCGAGGCGCCAACACAAAAAAATGTAAGCCTTATTCCCAAAATATTTGGGAGTTACTTATAGGAGAATTAGAGCCTTTAATTGATCGTTGATCATCTGTATTCAACGCTCTGTACTGTGACTGCCACCCAAGAGATTCCAAGGTCAGTAGAATTTAAATCCAATGGGGATCAAAATGGGTTTATTTACTCTGTACTCGGCTCCATGAATCTTTTTTTGCCTGTGTTTAGTTTTTCTGTCTAACAAAACGTTTAGAAGTAGTCTTCAGTGGCCGACAACACACAAAAAAAATAAAAATAAAATTGCCATACAAAGTATAATTGGACACCACTGCAGAGTATAAATGTGAAAAAAGAAGGTAATGTAGTGTTCACTGAAGTTTTTATATTTATTAGGATTCTACAATAATATGCAAAACAATAAAACAACTAAAATACAGAAAAATTGCACCAGAAATTTAATTACTACTCTATAGGTAAGATAAATCATCCGACAAAGTAAACAGGGAATATTTACTTACATAGACAAGTGCTTCTCTTCAGCCAGAATTGCATTGTTCAATTTAATATCAAACCTGTCAAAACAATGAAAAAAATATAAATTAGCTTCACTATACGAGCTTAATTATTGCATCATCAAAAATCAGTAGTCCTAACGCACTGATCTGTAGAATTATAACTAGTAAATCCGAGATCTTTGAAACTTCTAAGTCATACAAGTAGAGAGATCTATTCATTGATAAGAAAAAAAACTCATAACACAAACTATTCACAAAAACAATATTACACACGTGCTAATTAAATACATAAACATTCCACATGTATAGATCTGTGAAATTAAATGCTACGATGTGAAAGCATCAGATAAGCAACCGCTAGATCTCAGCTTAAGCACGCGTATACATAAAAAAGTTTGTTTTAACATGTAAAGAGTAGAATGAATTACTTGTCCAAGAATTCTTGATCCACGACAGCAGAAATATCCAAAAGTGGATTTCCCATTCCCAGTAGAATTCCTTCGTACTCCATTTCTGATTTTCGCAACTCAGGAATGGCTGAAAATATCAGTAGCTAAAGAGTGCACTGTGTGAGGCTGCGCAGTGGGAAAGGTCAATTTATACAGGGAAGATTGTGTGTTGGTCCCCAACTTATTTTCCCAATAGTAAACTTGATCATCAATTTCTGAGTTAAATGCACCATGGGTCACTTAACTTTGCGCAGAAGTATATCTAGGTTTATCAGATCATCCAACCTTGATTTGCTTCCTGATCTAATCAATCATCTTCAATTTGGTGAAATCAAGTCACTCAACTTCGATTTGTTTGCAAATATGATTATTATATAATTTTCCTATCAATTTAACTACCAGTTGGAAAATAAAAATAATGTATGATTACCACATATGTAAAACGTACCAGCAATGCATATTATCCATTTTAAACTCCTGTTTGGTAGGAATTAAAATCAAATATTTAGTATGTATTGACAAAATATGTAGTTGAAAAATTTGTAAATTTCATGAAATATGTAGTTAAAATAAATTGTTGATTTTGGCTTAAATCAAAATTTGAATTTTAATCCAGATCAAATAGGGACTAAATTATATTCTAAAAAAAACTATATAAACTTTTTACTTGTTATTCATTATTTTAAATGTTGAGATCAGCATATTTCGTTAGATAAAATGACATAATGGACAAAGTGATCANTTAGATAAAATGACATAATGGACAAAGTGATCATATTTACAAGTAAATCAAAGTTAGGTAGTTGATTGTACTAAATTAATATGGGTAAGTAGATCTGGACGCAAATTGAAGTAGGGTGATGTGATAGCATCAAAATGAACATAAGTGATCAAGATGCACATCGACTTAACATTTAATGACTCGCGGTGCTTTACCCATATATCTTGTTACAAATTAACTAATAATTCTCAAGAACGACAAATTAGGGCTAGACACAAACCAACCCAAATTGCCCAAACCGACCGATTTGAGTTGGTTTTTAAATTCAACAGGGTTGGGTTATGTTGAAAAATCAAATTTAAGGTCGGGTTAGATAGGATATCGGATTGTGAATTAAAATTCAACCCAACCTGATAAATTTTAAAAATTAATATCTAAAATGAAAAATCTAAATAGACACAATAATGGAGAAAAGAAAATGATTTAGAATGTACAAATGTCACTTTTTTACTTAGACTGATTGGTATGAATATTATGTACAAATGCAAAATAATTTGACGATAAACTAAAAATTAAGGACATGATAATAAAATGAATAAATTCTAAAAAAAATTATACAAAGAAAATGCTCAATAGTTTTACACTTATTTATAAATTAATTTTCAGAAAGAATTTATTATCTAAGTTAAAAATAATGGAGACTTTGTTATTATTTTATAGGCGTGATGGGGGTAAGAATTTATAATAGATTGGGGATAAGAGCGCAATTTTGTTATTTTATAGGCGTGATGGTGGTAAGCGAAAGAGTTGGTAAGGTAGGTAAGCTTATGCGGAGATTTTAAGTTTTTTCCTCAAAAGTGATTTGTACCTTTATCTTTTAGTCCTCAATTCCATTATTATTAAAATATATTTTTTCTTTTATTTTTTGTCACGCAATCTTTAATAAAATAATATTACACATAAATTCAAATCGTTTCTTATTTTATAACCACACATTCTCCATCAAAATATTATTTCAAAATAAATTTTGGATTAAAAAAAAAGGGTTCAAACAGGCTTGTAGTTTCACGTTATCGAATTAAACTATTGTTCATATTAAAGATCTGCAAGTCCAAACTAATATAGCTCTTGTTCGATTTAGATAAACTTTAGATTTTTAACAAATTTTGATAAAAATTGATGAAATATGTAAAATTTATTCTATTTTTTTAATTGAACCAAACAATGACATAATGCTAGCGTTCGTAGTCACTTAGATTAGTAATGCGACGATTATCACAACTAATACATAAACAAAAGAGAAAGTACAATAAATGTAGAGTAATGTTATTTATCATAACTAGTGTTAAACATTAGATTAAGGGACAATTACATGTCACTAAATGATATATTCATTTAGCCCCTGTTTGCCCCCCATAATGACATAATGGACAAAGTGATCAGATTTACAAGTAAATCAAAGTTAGGTAGTTGATTGTACTAAATTAAATATGGGTAAGTAGGTCTGGACGCAAATTGAAGTAGGGTGATGTGATAGCATCGAAATGAAGATAAGTAATCAAGATGCACATCGGCTTAAAATTGAACGACTCACGGTGCTTTACCCATATATCTCGTTACAAATTAACTATTAATTCTCAAGAACGACAAATTAGGGCTAGACACAAACGAATTCAAATCGCTCAAACCGACGGATTTGAGTTGGTTTTTAAATTCAATAGGGTTGGGTTGTGTTGAAAAATCAAATTTAAGGTCGGGTTAGATAGGATATCGGATTAAGAATTAAAATTCAACCCAACCTGATAAATTTTAAAAATTAATATCTAAAATGAAAAATCTAAATAGACACAATAATGGAGACAAGAAAATGATTTAGAATGTACAAATGTCACTTTTTTACTTAGACTGATTGGTATGAATATTATGTACAAATGCAAAATAATTTGACGATAAACTAAAAATTAAGGACACGATAATAAAATGAATAAATTCTAAAAAAATTATACAAAGAAAATTCTCAATAGTTTTACACTTATTTATAAATTAATTTTCAGAAAGAATTTATTATCTAAGTTAAAAATAATGGAGACTTTGTTATTATTTTATAGGCGTGATGGGGGTAAAAATTTATAATAGATTGGGGATAAGAGCGCAATTTTGTTATTTTATAGGCGTGATGGTGGTAAGCGAAAGAGTTGGTAAGGTAGGTAAGCTTATGCGGAGATTTTAAGTTTTTTCCTCAAAGGTGATTTCAAATTGTACCTTTATCTTTTAGTCCGCAATTCCATTATTATTAAAATATATTTTTTCTTTTATTTTTAGTCACACAATCTTTAATAAAATAATATTACACATAAATTCAAACTGTTTCTTATTTTATAACCACACATTCTCCATCAAAATATTATTTCAAAATAAATTTTGGATTAAAAAAAAGGGTTCAAACAGGCTTTTAGTTTCACGTTATCGAATTAAACTATTGTTCATATTAAAAACCTGCAAGTCCAAACTAATATAGCCCTTGTTCGATTTAGATAAACTTTAGATTTTTAACAAATTTTGATAAAAAATGATGAAATATGTAGTTAAAAAATTATCGATCTTTGAAATGTGTGGTTAAAATTAACTGAACGACTTTGACTTAAAATTTATTCAATTTTTTTTAATTGAACCAAACAAGGACATAATGCTAGCGTTCGTAGTCACTTAGATTAGTAATGTGACGATTATCACAACTAATACATAAACAAAAGAGAAAGTACAATAAATGTAGAGTAATGTTATTTATCATCACTAGTGTTAAATATTAGATTAAGGGATAATTACATGTCACTAAATGATAGATTCATTTAAATATAAAGTCACGTAACTCATTGAACCTATAAAATATGAATAATGATATTCATAATGAAGATTACTAATAGTCGTCCTACGTGATATAATAATTATCACATCAATGTATCAAATAATAAATTGTCATGTGTATACGATGTAGGGCGACTACTGAATAACATTACTCATAACATAACTATCTAAATTGATGTTAAATAACATTATTCATAAATACGTAGGCGTGTCATTAATCAAACCAGATTGTATAGTTGGGTAGGTGGGAGTGGGATTCATCAATGCGCCCACCACAACCTTGAGATTTACAATATTTTGAGAGGGAGAATATATATCATATTTTTACGTTTTATTATTTATCGGTCACCATCAGTTTATTTGAAGTTTTAATATATTGAAGTTACTTAGTCCCTGAACTATCATGCTAAATAAATAATAAATAGCATTATTCTGCAACTTATATTAAAAGTATAATTTTTATTGTAAGTTTGTGTTCTATGCAGGATATGAATTGCTGACAAACAATCCGACTTCAAAATTCTCGAGTCTTCGCACCAAGTTGCGAGAATTTGTTTCCGATATTTGTTGACCAAAGGTTATAGCAAACTGCCTATGCATCCGATGGCAAATATTGGCATTGTTGTGAAACAAATAAGATACAAGAATCACTCTAATAGCACTTGTTATGTTAATTATGTCCAAAATATATGATATCAATTGTTGGGAATTCAAAGATCACGTATCGCTCGATACCACTTGACATGACACTAACCACCGGATTGAGATGTTAAAGTTATATGACACAATAATGAAGTATTTGATCACAAGTAGAAGAATAAAAGAAGACAATAAAATATGATAAAGAAATTTAAAGATTTTATTGCATCAATAATAATGGAGAAATATACAATTGATCCTAAAGTTCTAATAATCTTTTTTCTCAGATTATGAAATTGTACATAAGAGTTTAATATTTATAGGGAACATGTAGATGACGTCAAAATCCTCATAATAGAGTTATTGATGAAGTATAATGCCAAAAAATCGAGTCCAAAACGAAAAAAAGGAAAGAAAAACGCGAAAAATCGGAACATGTACAGCGGCGCCACCTCCGGGCGCACTGACGTCAGGCGTTCTACCCAAATTTAAAATTTTTTTTTTGTTCCAAGTTGTTTTCTACATCCTGAACTCTTCTTCAAGTCTAATATCAATTTACAATTCCCAATACTTTCAAAATAGAACTTCAACTTGACATATGACTCCAATAGCATTCCAAACTGAATTTTTCATGACGTGTATTTCAATTAGAATTCTTCAATAAGGAATTCGAGTTACACTCAAATTCTAACAGACATAGTAGAGAGAATTCTTGGGTCAATGATATTGAAGTCCAATTATGTTTGTATTATTAAAGAAATGAACAAAATTTTGATGACTTCTCAATTGATGTATTGAAGGAATATTTGTTCATTTTAAAGAAGAAAGAAGTCACAACTCAAAATATATAATAAATTTGGATAAGTACTTACAACAATATTGATCTTGAGGACAGAAAAATCCTCACAGCCTATACAGACAAGTGCATTAAGCAATTTTTACATGCTATTTGCTAACAGACAATTCATATTAAAAACAAAACAAGAAGGTAAAGAAAACAGAAAGGTATGTTCGCAAAGAATGTTTCATGTGAAATGATTTTTTAACAGATGGGAAGAGGAGTGCCATTCCAACCCTTTAGGCATTCTACCAATGGATCAATGATCAGTCCCTTGCTCATTGCAATGAACACCTTGTCAAATTCCTCTCCCGGTGACCTAACCTTATCTCCAATCAGCAACTCGGTTTCAAGCTCCTCGCGAACAAATTTGTACAGTGGTAAGGATTGACACTCCTTAATCCGGTTAGGAATTTCTGGATTCCCACTCTCAAGGGTGATTATTGCGCTCTCAACTTCTTTAGGCAAGATGACCTTTAGTTCATCCTCGAAAGCTCCAATCTTCTGGAAGATGGAAGTGCTTGCATTTCCCTCGTTAGCACCATTTTCCAATGCGTGATCAACAAGAACTTGCCTTAGTTTTGCATCATGGGTAGGTTGCACTGCAAGGTTCGTCAATGTAGGTAAAGACATATTCCTGATCCACCACACGAAGCAAATTCTCCTCACAGAATCTTGAAGGGTGAAGTTCTCCATTGGCTCCCATTGTTAGAGATCGTTTGGCTACTTGGCTAACAGTATTCTTGACAGTGTTCCTCAAATCATCCTCCAAAGTGCCTCAAATCTATTACTTGGCATAACTCCATGAGATAAGTGGATGACATGAGTGTCAAGATATCTACAGCTTCAGCTGTTTTACGAGATGAAATAAAAAACGAGTTTACATCTTGGTTGTGTTGCTCGGCACTCTGGACATGGTTTGTGACCAGATTTGCTAAAAACTGGAGCTCTGAACAGTAAGAAGCCATAGCAATTTTCACCCCCTTGAAACCATAATCCAAACTTGGATTCCTTCCACCCGAAAGGTTAGATGGCAATCCATTATTGTATAAATCATTAACCAGCTCAGAAAATTTTCAAACATCAACTTCCCAATTGATGCAATGGCTAATCTAGCATGGTCCATGGAAACTCCAATTGGTGTTCCCTGGAAGTTGCCACCATGAAATGCCTTGTTCTTTGAAACCTCGATCAATGGATTATCGTTCACTGGGTTTATTTTCCTCTCGATCATTTTTGTTGCAGAGCGAATGACTTCAATTTGAGGCCCGAGCCATCGTGGGGACGTTCTAAGTGCATACAGATCTTCTTTTGATTTTTGCAGTGGATCCATTTCGTGTAACTTCTGAGAAGCCTTCACATAGGAACTACCATCCAAAATGTGTTCCATTATAGTAGCATCCTCCCAGACGGTGCTTTAATTTGTGCGTCAAATGACCAGTAAATTTCGGTTTCCCGTTCATTACTTCAGCAAAAATTGCTAACATAACTTCAGACGGAAGAGCCAGAATGTTAGTATCAAAAAGAACAATAGACGCCAAGCCAGAACCAACAACTGTGACATTAACAAGTGCAAGGCCTTCTTTAGGTTGCAACTCGAAAAATCCTCCAATGACACCAGCAAACTCGAAGGCTTTCTCGGCATTTAGCGTCTCTCTGGCAGGTCCCACAGCCTTCAAATTGGGCCGACCGGTTCTCAATGTAGGATAACGGAACAAGATCACCAGATGCAGTGATCATGCCACGTAATGGTAAGCATGGAGTGATATTGTCGTTAAGAAATTTTATTGTAGGAATTATACATGCCTCAAAACACAAAGTAATACAGAAAATAGAGATGAACACGAAGGATTTTTCGCCCTAAGGCCCGGGCTAGTCACCCATTAAGCATTCACCAAAGTGATTAATGCTCTAATCCACTAGAAACCAACAATATTATCAAGATCAAAGTTACAATACAACAGGTCCACAAAGGATCGACCCAAGTATCTCTCACAAATCGCTTAGAAATACGATTATACAGAGTAACCAAAGGTTACTGCCCATAGAAGAACAGAAAACCAGACCTAAGCCTTAATCAAACACTAGATCTCACCAAGAACACCTAGATTGAAGATTACAGGTGAAAACCAAAGGTTTTCAGAGAGAGAAACGAGAGAGCCAAAAAGAGAAAAAAACCCTAGAAATGATCTCGAATGAATGAGACGAATAGAGAGTCAAGCCAAGATATCAACAGTCAGAAGCATCCAACGGTCACAGCTCCATCCACGTGTTACAATCTCAACCTTTGAGATAAATGATGATTTGGGCTGTCGGGTTGCTTCTAACGGGCTGGCCTTCTCACAATAGTAAGGGTGCATCATTGGGACCACGCACAAGGTAAGGTATTTGGGCTGCCACAATATGGGCCAAAATTGTTAAGCATCAACTTTACATTTGTGATGGCTTCCAAGATTTCGAACAGGATTTCAGAGTAGCCTTGGAGAAGAGTATTGATCCTAACAAGCATGGTCATTCTTGTTGCTGAGTGTGGTAGTGTGTGGCAAGATTATGTTCCATTTCTAAAAACTCCAGCATTCAAGAATCTATAACAGTTGAATCTATCATTAAAAGTGACCCATGATTTAATTTAAACAAAGACCCATGATTTGTTTTTAATTCTTTTCATGTGGTTACATTAATATGTATTTCCACTCCCAAGAACCTAAGTTTTTCAAGTACTCAAAAATAGCCTAAATGAAACATACTAAGGTAAGAATGGGGACACAAAATAAATTCTTAAATTCAATCAATAAACCGCAATACTTTCCTAACTTGTCTGAACAACAACACAGAAAACTTCATGTTACAGAAGGAAACAAGAACAAAGCGCCAAGTTTTTGTCGTCCTAAGAGGACGGCAACATGAACTCTCGACCATTTATGTCATCCTGTCAATCGAGTTCCATATCATATTAGCCTAAAGTATTAAGGTAAAATCTCATCTTGCTTAAATATGAGATCGTAATTAATGTATAAGAGTTTGAGCTACTCAATTTGGTGTCTGGTGTGTTGTCGTAGGCACCCAAAATAATCCTTAAACCTCTAAAACTAATGTAGTAATGGAAGTAAGGGTCGATCCCACGAAGAGTGTGCAATTCAACAATTTATGCTTCGTATAACGATTGGGTGGGTTTTATTTATAACGAAATCAATCTTATAATAAATAACAATGTATATTAACGAGTTGTATTAAACTAATTAAACGAGTCTTGATCAAAGCCAACTTCCACCATTGGAGATTTATAACCATTCATCAATCCACAAAGAATAATCAATCCACATTCACAATATTAATCGTTGGAATAAATTCTCATTTCTCATTAATTTTAGTTAATCAAAAACTAGTGTTCTAATTAACCCTAATTATCAAATAATCTCAGATCAGCACCAAAGATTCAATTTAATAACAATTTTAAACAATAGAGAAATCGATGAACTAGATAATACAAACAACATCGGTTGCATTCAATCTATTTAGTTACACATGATAGATCTAAGAAAAAATAAAGAGAAAAAAGGTTGGAGAGGTTATGATGTGTTTCGGGGTGTTTTTCTAGGCATCTCGCGGCCCATACATACAAAAAAACTCTAATTTGCTCTGTGCGGCGCCTAGGTGCTATGGGAGCAGCGCCTAGGTGCTGAAAATCTGTTCTTTCTGGGCAACACGGAGCCTGGGCGTTGTGTTGCTGTTTCAAATTCTGCGTCTTCTTTAGTATTTTTGTCATAACTTCCTCTCCCGATGTCCAATTGAGACGATTCAAGATGCGTTAGAAATATAACTCAAAGGGCTACAACTTTACTTCAGATACCATTTTCGAATTCGATCATCTACCATGTCAAAAACTAGTCTCAAGATGAGGCTAAAAATTAGTGCAAAACTTTTCAACTTGAAAGTTGATATATGATAATGTTTTGGTTATGTTTCATCCTTTTGACTTCTTCCTTCATCCAATTGACTTCTAATACTCTCAAATATTCATCACAAGGTTAGAAGTAAGTTTAGAGTATTTGCACTTTAGTCCCTGAACTTTCACTTTCTTCCATTTAGGTTTCTTTTCACTTATTTCTTCCAAATTACGTCATATCTATCAAATTGTCACCTAAACCAAAATATGAGATTAATAAATACACTTTGGCCTAAAATAATCATACGAACGTATTAAATTAGGAGGAAAAACTATGCATTTTACATTCATATCAGTGTCATAGTCCAAAAATGTACAAACATGTAACTAAATCCATCTAAAGCTTATATGGCGTGGAATCTAGATTGCTCGATAAATTTTGTCAAGAACAATATGTAAGGAGCTCTCGATTACTTCGTGCAATTTGTAAAAAAAGTTATTTTTTTTCTTAAATCAGTTAAATATACATTCTATCCACACATAATCCAAAACTTATTGTTCTTGACAATATGTAAGGAGCTCTCGATTGCACTGTCCGTATGTGAAAGAATGGAAAGGATGAACGGAGACGACATTAATAATGTAATGTGGTTAGTAAAGGTTTGTGGCTTCAAATAGAGAGAGCGGTTGGTGGCTGGCTGTTGGAGGAGTGAGTAATAGGGGCTGACGGCCCGCCGTATACAGATTAGTTGAAGATTAATCTTGACCGTTGTTTTGTATTTTGTTTTAATTAACGTTTTAGATTTGCTTGAATGGGGATATAGCTGATTTTTATTTATTTTTTTTGTAGAGGAAAAGTGGTGGTTGGTGGGACTGAAAATTATTCGTAATTATTGAATTGTAATTATAAACAAAAATAAGAAAAACGTAATTTGTGACATTTTTATATATAATAAAGTCAAACAAGGAGAATTGATGTCTAGTAGATAAACAAAAAAAATCAACAAGTCACATTGTTTGTTTCTTCATTTTTGTGGTCTCAAATGATATTTTACCATAAAACATTTAGCCAGGGCCGTACCTGTGTTTCGCTGGGCCTGAGGCGAACTTCAAACTTTGGGCAATCCTTTTTTTCTTCTAAAAGAGTCTTACATAACTAAATTTGTTAACTTAAATTCAACAATAAAGCGACATCAATGAATCAGGGACTTGATAGTACTTAAATAAATAATAAATAGCGTTATTCTGCAACTTATATTAAAAGTATAATTTTTATTGTAAGTTCGTGTTCTATGCAGGATATGAATTGCTGGCAAACAATCCAACTTCAAAATTCTCGAGTCTTCGCACAAATTTGTGAGAATTTGTTTCTGATATTTGTTGACCAAAGGTTATAGCAAACTGCCAATGCATCCACGGCAAGATGATGGCAAATATTGGCATTGTTGTGAAACAAACAAGGTACAAGAATCACTCTAATTGCACTTGTTAACATAATATGCCCAAAATATATGATATCAATTGTTGGGAATTCAAAGATCACGTATCGCTCGATACCACTTGATATGAAACTAACCACCGGATTGAAATGTTAAAGTTATATGACACAATAATGAAGTATTTGATTACAAGTAGAAAAATAAAAGAAGACAATAAAATATGATAAAGAAATTTGGAGATTTTATTGCACCAATAATAATTGAGAAATATACAATTGATCCTAAAGTTCTAATAATCTTTTTTCTCAGATTATGAAATTGTATAGAAGAGTTTAATATTTATAGGGAACATATAGTTATTGATGAAGTATGATGCCAAAAAATCGAGTCCAAAACGAAAAAAATGAGAGAAAAACGCGAAAAATCGGAACAGGTGCAGCGGCGCCACCTTCGGGGGCTCTGACGTCGGGCGTTCTGCCCAATTTTTTTCCAAGTTGTTTTCTCCATCCCGAACTCTTCTTCAAGTCTAATACCAATTTACAACTCCCAATAGACTTTCAAAATAAAATTTCAACTTGACATATGACTCCAATAGCATTCCAAACTGAATTCTTCTTGACGTGCACTTCAATTACAATTCTTCAATTACTTTAATAAAGAATTCGAGTCACACCCAAATTCTAACAGACATAGTAGAGAGAATTCTTGGGTCAATGATATTGAAGTCCAATTACGTTTGTATTATTAAATAAATGAACAAAATTTCGATGACTTCTCAATTGATGAATTGAAGGAATATTTGTTCATTTTAAAGAAGAAAGAAGTCACAACTCCAAATATATAATAAATTTGGATAAGTACTTACAACAATATTGATCTTGAGGACAGAAAAATCCTCACAGCCTATGCAGACAAGTTCATTAAGCAATTTTTACATGCTATTTGCTAACAGACAAATCATATTAAAAACAAAACAAGAAGGTAAAGAAAACAGAAAGGTGTGTTCACAAAGAATGTTTCATGTGAAATGAATTTTTAACAGATGGAAAGAGGGGTGCCATTCCAACCCTTTAGGCATTCTAGCAAAGGATCAATGATCAGTCTCTTGCTCATTGCAGTGAACACCTTGTCAAATTCCTCGCCCAGTGACCTAACCTTATCTCCAGTAAGCAACTCGGTTTCAAGCTCCTCGCGAACAAATTTGTATAGTGGTAAGGATTAACACTTCTTAATCTGGTTAGGAATTTCTGGATTCCACTCTCGAGGGCGATTCTTGCGCTCTCGACTTCTTTAGGCAAGATGACCTTTAGTTCATCCTTGAAAGCTCCAATCTTCTAGAAGATGGAAGTGCTTGCATTTTCCTCGTTAGCATCATTTTCCAATGCGTGATCAACAAGAACTTGCCTTAGTTTTTGCATCATGGGTAGGTTGCACTGCAAGGTTCGTCAATGTAGGCAAAGACATATTCATGATCCACCACACGAAGCAAATTCTTCTCACAGAATCTTGAAAGGCGAAGTTCCCCATTGGCTCTCATTATTAGAGATCGTTTGGCTACTTGGCTAACAATATTCTTGACAGTGTTCCTCAAATTATCCTCCATAGTGCCTCAAATCTATTGCTTGGCATAACGCTATGAGATAAGTGGATGACATGAGTGTCAAGATATCTACAGCTTTAGCTGTTTTACGAGAGGAAATAAAAAACAATGAGTTTACATCTTGGTTGTGTTGCTCGGCACTCTGGACATGGTTTGTGACCGGATTTGCCAAAAACTGGAGCTCTGAATAGTAAGAAGCCATAGCAATTTCCGCCCCCTTGAAACCATAATCCAAACTTGGATTCCTTCAACCTGAAAGGTTAGATGGCAATCCATTATTGCATAAATCATTAACCAGCTCAGAAAATTGTGCAAACATCAACTTCCCAATTGATGCAATGGTTAATCTAGCATTCTCCATGGAAACTCCAATTGGTGTTCCCTGGAAGTTGCCACCATGAAATGCCTTGTTCCTTCTTTAGGTTGCAACTCGAAAAATCCTCCAATGACACTAATAAACTCGAAGGCTTCCTCAGCATTTAGCGTCTCTCCGACAGGTCCCCCAGCCTTCGAATTGGGCCGATCAGTTCTCAATGTAGGATAATGGAACAAGATCACTGGATGCAGTGATCGTACCACGTAATGGTAAGCATGGAGTGATATTGTCATTAAGAAATTTTGTGATGGCTTCCAAGATTTCGAACAGGATTCCAGAGTAGCCTTGGAGAAGAGTATTGATCCTAACAAACATGGCCGCTCTTGTTGCTGAGTGTGGTAGTGTATGGCAAGATTCTGTTCCATTTCCGAAAACTCCAGCATTCAAGAATCTGTAACAGTTGAATCTATCATTAAAAGTACCTAAACAATCTTAATTTACTTGAATCATCTTGTTTTCAACAAGATTTAAATTTAAACAAGACCCATGATTTGTTTTTAATTCTTTTCATCTAGTTACATTAATATGTATTTCCACCCCCAAGAACCTAAGTTTTTCAAGTACTCAAAAATAGCCTAAATGAAACATACTAAGGCAGGAATGGGGACACAAAATAAATTCTTAAATTCAATCAATAAACCACAATACTTTCCTAGCTTGTCTGAACAACAACACATAAAACTTCATGTTACAGAAGGAAACAAGAACAAAGCGCCAAGTTTTTGTCGTCCTAAGAGGACGGCAACATGAACTCTCGACCATTTATGTCATCTTGTCAGTCGAGTTCCATATCATATTAGCCTAAAGTATTGAGTTCAAAACTCATCTCGCTTAAATATGAGATCATAATCAATGTATAAGAGTTTAGTCCAAAAATGTACAAACATGTAACTGAATCCATCTAAAGCTTATATAGCATGGAATCTAGATTGCTCCATAAATTTTGTCAAGAACAATATGTAAGAGTAAGAATTTGAGGCTGAAATCACACAAGAAAAAGCTACTGCTTCAGTTCATTAATGGTGGAATATATACAAATTACAGCTAATGTTTGTTGCAACAAATTGAGAAGGAATATACTGCATTATCCTATTAACAAACGACAGGTGTCTAGCAACTTAGATTCTAAATTCCATTAATCCAGGACATTTCATTTTGTACTGATAGTATTGTTATAATTGTGGTCCAATTCTAACACCCCCTCTCAAGGTGGAGTATCTCTCAAAGACTCCAAGATTCTCTGAGGAATGCAAATCTGGAATGTCCAAGTGGCTTTGTCAATAGATCTGCTATCTGATCGGAGGATGGAATGTATTGAACTTCCAATTCTTTCTTCAACACTTTATCTCTTACAAAGTGAATATCAAGCTCGATGTGTTTTGTTCTTGCATGATACACCGGATTGGATGCTAGTGCTCCTGCACTCAAGTTGTCACACCATATTTTAGGAATTAATTCCTGTGATATACCAACTTCTTTGAGCAAGGAGGTAATCCAAGCAATCTCAGATGCACAGTGAGCCAATGCCCAGTATTCAGCTTTGGTACTTGATTGCAACGTGTTGCTTCTTTGAGCACCATGAAACCAGGCTGTCACCAAGGTATACACAATAGCCAGTAGTGGATAGCCTGTCATCTGGGCATGACACCCAATCAGCATCGGCAAAGGCGATTATGTTCAGATTTTCACTTTTCTGAATAAACAAACCATAGTTGTGTGAGCTTTGTAAGTATCTAAAAACTCATTTCAGTACATTCCAGTGTGCATCCGTGGGAGCTTGAAGAAACTGACTTAGCTTATTTAAGGAATAGGTGATGTCACGCCATGTATGAGTTAAATATTGAAGTGCACCAACTGCACTTCTATAGAGTGTTGGATCACTTATGTCTTTGCCTTCAACTTTTGAAATTTGCTTTCCCCCTTCTATAGGAGTCATGCTTGGCTTCAGATTTTCGTAGTTGAACTTCTTGAGTAAATCAGTTAGGTACTCATTCTAAATGAGAAATAAGCCAGTCTTGTCTCTGTGAACTTCAATTCCCAAAAATTGGCTAAGTCCTCCCATATCCTTTAAGGCAAAACATTCATTTAGTTTGTCAATGAAGATCTGTAGCTGCTGTCTATTACACCCGGTGATTATGATGTCATCTACATAGACTAATGCAAACATGATCTAATTTTTATCCACCAAGAAGTATAGGAAATTGTCTGCCTTTGATTGTTTGAACTTCCACTACAAGAGAGTGTCCTTCAACTTATCATACCACACCCTTGGTGCTTGCCTAAGCCCATACAATGCCTTTTCTAGTTTACAGACAATATGTGGAGTGTTTTGCTGCACAAAACCTTGTGGTTGTTCAATGTAGACCGTCTCCTCCAACCTTCCGTTTAGGAATGCATTGTTTACATCCACTTATCTTATGTCCCAGTCTTTAGAAACAGTAATTGCAAGTATGATTTTCAGAGTAGAAGGTTTAATAACAGGACTAAACGTTTCTTTGAAATCTATCCCAGGTGTCTGCAAGAACCCCTTGGCAACCAACCTCGCCTTTTACCTTTGCACCTTTCCTCTGCATCACACTTTAGCTTGAACACCCACTTACTCCCATTCACCTTTCTTCCAGACTCTGGAGGTTCAAGCTTCCAAGTTTTGTTTTTAATCAATGTGTCATACTCCTCTTGCATTGCCTTTCTCCAGTTAGTGCTTGATAGAGCCTCATTTACATTTTGTGGTTCACAGTCAATCAGTTCCTCTGAATTCTGACTAATGTAGACCTTTGGTTTGAAGATTCCTACCTTGCACCTTATAACCATATGATGACCAGTGTGTAAATTATTCTAACTTCTAACAATCTCCTCCCCATTAGTTGCTGATGTACCAGCATCATCAGGTTCACTGAGTGCATTTTCTTCTGATATAGTTTGATTAACCTCAGGAATGCCTTCACTCATATCACCCTCACGATCTAAGTTTCTGCTGAAGTAACCTACAACAGGGACTAAACTTGGCTGGACTATATCAGCTGCAGTTTGAGGAGGAGGTATATATCTTGATTCTTTTTCAAATGGAAGGAAATATAGACTATTCGAGATGACATGAGGTTGTTGGTGTTTATTGAGAAAACCAGATTTAAAAGGGAATTCTGTTTCATTAAATATCACGTGTCTTCAGATATAAGTTCTACCAGTTTGGCTGAGGTACCTAGATCTTTTGTATGAGGGACTATAGCCAAGGAAAACACATCTTTGTGAGCGAAAATCAAACTTATGGTTCAGATATGGCCTAAGGTAAGGATAACAGGCACGGCCAAAAGTTCTTAGTGTTTTGTAGTCAAAGTTCTTTTTGTAGAGGGTCTGATATGGTGACTTTTGCTGAAGAATAGGAGTAGGTAGTCTATTAATTAGATAGGTGGCTGTTGTGAAAGATTCCCACCAATAATGAAGTGGCAAATAAGCTTGAGCCAACAAAGTCAGCCCAACAGTAACATGTCTATGTTTTCTCTCTGCTCTCCCGTTTTGTGATGAGGTATAAGGGCAGGAATATCTTAGTTTAATGCCTGATTTTGAGGCAACTTGGGTAAAATTTCTATACTCACCTCCCCAGTCCGACTGTAAGACTTTTATATTCCTTTCAAGTTAGTTTTCTATCATTTGTTTGAACTGAATGAATGCACCTAAGGCTTCTGATTTTTGTCTCATAGGGTAGATCCAGTTGTATCTGCTATAATCATCCACAAACAAGATATAGTACCTAAAGCCACAAGTAGAACTTTTTGGTGCAGGTCCCCACACATCACTGTGAATCAAGTCTAGAGGGTTTAGAGCATGCGAAGTGGAGTTGTTAAAGGGTAAAGCATGAAGTTTTCCCAGTTGAAAAGTTTCACAAATCTTTGGAATTTCATTAGTTTTGATAATTTTATTACACGACTTCAAAACTTGACTCAATATATGATGGATGGCCTAATTTCTTATGCTAAACGTCTAACTGTAACTCATTAATATTTTTGGCTGACACCCTAGAACTTGCATCTACTGAGAAGGCTACAAGACTGAGATTATTTTGGTGGCTGGACTTCTTGGCTGCAAGTTTGAGTTTTGAATTAGGCAACTCCAGCTGATATAGTCCATCTCTAAGTGTCCCTTGCAGCAGTATTTTCTTCAATTGCAGATCCTTAACAAGACAATGGTGAGGATAAAACTCCATAAACACATTATTATCAAGTGTTAACTGTGATACACTGACTAAGTTCTTTCTTATGGCAGGCACATGCAACAATTTATTTAATGTGAGGGATTTAGCATTCAAAGCGGGAATATCAGTTGCACCAATGTGAGCAATGTTCATACAATCTCCCTTACCAACAAATAACTTCTGCTTACCTCCATATTCCTGAGCAGTCAGCATATTACTCTTGTCAATGGTCATATGATTGCTGGCTCCGGAATCTGCAAACCAAGTAGGATCTCCAATGGTGCTAGGCGAGGCTATGTAGGCTGTTGGAAGTGAGCTCTTAGTCTGGTTGTTTGGTCTGCTTCCCATGAACCTGTCATCATATCTGTTATAACAACAGCTGGCGGAGTGATTGCTGAGTCCACAAATTTGACATGGACCTTGATTTTCAGCTATTCTTCCTGCTCTACCTCTTATAGTTCTACCTTTGATATTCAAAAACCTTCCAAATCTGTTAAATCTTCCACCTCTTAGTCCACCTCTTTAGGCTAGATTCACACTAAATTGAGTGATATTTATTGAGGCCATTTCATTCCTCACTTGATGGAGGTACTCAAGCCTGCTCTCAAAAGTCATAAGTACCGACAAGAGTTCATGACAGGAAATCTCATCTCTGCTATTGATTTGTACTACAATTGAAGTATACTCTTCATCAAGCCCAGCAAGAACTTGTGTTACCAGGTCAGTGTGATCTATTGTCTTCCCAACAATCTGTAAATTATCTACCAACTGTTTGATGCTTGCAAGATACTGATCCATAGACATAGATCCCTTTCTGGTCCTTTGCAACTCACCAGTGAGAAACGTTACTCTTAATCTATTTAGTATGCCATAGCTTTCTTTGATGACATTCCAGAGTTTGCTGGAGCTGGTGCTTCCCAGGACTCTCATGGCAATCTCAGGTGTCATGGAGGAGTACAACCATCACATAAGCAACTGGTCAATTGAGATCCACTTGTTGTACTCAGGATTTTGGGTCATCTCAACAGATCCACCTTCCCCTGTTGCGGTTTGAGTTACTATGAACTCTGGAGGGTATGGCTTTGTTCCCAGCAAATACTCTTCAAGATGGTGACCTCGAACTATTGGCATTATCATGTTTTGCCATAGCAAGAAGTTATCCTTGTCCAGTTTCAC